TAATCCAGCACAGTGTACATTGTTATCTAATCCAATACAGTGTATATTGTTATCTATATTGTTATCTAATCCAATACAGTGTACACTGTTATCTAATCCAGCACAGTGTATATTGTTATCTAATCCAGCACAGTGTACATTGTTATCTAATCCAACACAGTGTACACTGTTATCTAATCCAACATAGTGTACATTGTTATCTAATCCAACACAGTGTACATTGTCATCTAATCCAGCACAGTGAACATTGTTATCTAATCCAACACAGTGCATATTGTTATCTAATCCAACACAGTGTACATTGTTATCTAATCCGACATAGTGTACATTGTTATCTAATCCAACACAGTGTATATTGTTATCTAATCCAATACAGTGTACATTGTTATCTAATCCAACATAGTGTACATTGTTATCTAATCCAGCACAGTGTATATTGTTATCTAATCCAGCACAGTGTACATTGTTATCTAATCCAGCACAGTGAACATTGTTATCTAATCCAGCACAGTGTACACTGTTATCTAATCCAACACAGTGTATATTGTTATCTAATCCAACACAGTGTACATTGTTATCTAATCCAATACAGTGTATATTGTTATCTAATCCAACACAGTGTACATTGTCATCTAATCCAGCACAGTGAACATTGTTATCTAATCCAGCACAGTGTACACTGTTATCTAATCCAACACAGTGTACATTGTTATCTAATCCAACACAGTGTACATTGTTATCTAATCCAACATAGTGTACATTGTTATCTAATCCAACATAGTGTACATTGTTATCTAATCATAAGTGTGGTGATGTATTGAAAAACAGCATCTGTTGCATAAATTATTTTATTGTAATAATATGTCAAAAAAGACTTTCTGTACAATCATTCATTACACGAAACGGTGCGGGTGTTTGATATAAATGTTCCAGAACATTTAAAGTACACGTGCGTTATTGAGAACGCTGTAACGTGAGGAGTATCATCTATATGTCACGGAAGGTATGGAGAAACGTGAACTTTTTTAATGCTCCGTTTACCTCTTTTAAGAATGACAGTAAAGTCAAGTGTAAAATTATTTAGTGACTACTGTAATATTTATTGTTCATATAATATGATATATTAGTCTATATTTTAGTTCCGTTTCATAAGTAAAAATACTAGGTTGTTGATTAGTTAGTTGGACGACGTTTCATTTCATTAGCAATCTCCTTCGTGGTAGTGGTATAGACCGACGACGTTTTGGTTCACTTGTATTCCTTCATGATGAAGAATAACACCAGCAACGAAAGAGTATTCTTGTAATATATATTTTCAATATTTTAATTTAGGTGTTTATCTGCTAGAGGGGGCATGTCATTACGTCATGGTGATGAGCAATATCTAGAAAATTTCATGAAAGTTATGAATCTAGAAGTTTCTTATACCAAGTAGAAATAAGAGTACAATATAAATACCAAAGTCAGTGAATTATCAGTTATTCAGTTAGTAAGTTATTTAGTTAACCGAAACGTAGTTCAACTAGAAAGCTACCTAGTCAGGTTGTCTGAATAAATTTGAATTTCACTTGCCTTGAAGGAATTTATAATAAGTTTCCACAAATTTATATAACAAACTGGTTTATACAGAATGTTACCAAGGAAAAGTACTTGTTTTGTGTTGTTGTTTTTTTTTCATATAGTTAAGTCATCGAATTGATTAGGGTTAGCTAATCAGTACTGGGTGTTTAAAAACATCTTACACAGGTTTCGTTTCAGGGAGCTGCACAGTTTATATAATGTTCTAATAAATCTAAGTGAGAACTAGCATCTTGCAGAAGGATATTATATACTAATATATCTTATTTTTCTTTACTTATGTTAATTTAAAAAATAAACACCACAAACTTACGACACCAAGCCTACAAGAAAAATTAGGTCTAACGTTAGGCTTATGTCGCCAAAATTGCTCTCACGCGTGGGAAGTCTGAATTTATCAATATTCTAATATTTTTTCAGCTTTAAAAAAATCAGTCGTATCTTCCACGAGTTTTTTTTTTGTAAAGTTTTGTATACTAGATGAGTAATCTTGTGAAGTTTAAAGCTGCAAATATTACTTAAGCAAGAATGGAGTTCTAGATGGAATCTGATTGGGGTGTTTATTATTGTTAGGGGCATTGATAATGTTGATGTATCATCTTTTATCGTATTTAATGGTGAGAGTGGTAGGACTAGGGGACACAAATATACAGTTTGGCAAGGTCGGAGTTATCTTCAGTTAAGAGAGCTTTACTTTTCTAAAAACGGTGGTTGGTCTTTGGAATGGATTGCTGTGGTGGATACAGTTGATTTAAGTGAGTTTAGAAAAAGGCTTGATAGATATTTAAATGATATATATATATATAAGATCTGGCTTTGAGTGTTTTATTTTCATTTTAAAGTTTAGTTTATAGGATGGGATGGCAAAGAAGGCCCAACAGGTCCTTTGTTGCCATTAAAATATATGTAAAATGTGTTACACATTTTGACTTGTATAAATTATAAATAGTTTCGTCACAAAGAAAAAGAGTCGTCCTAGAAACAAACCTACTATATAATTACTTACAAAAGCAGTTGCTGTAGTTATTTTGCTGCCTCCTGTACCTCCTATTACAAGTCTAATTTCTCCGTTACCGTCTACCACTATCGTTGGAGACATTGAAGAAAGTGGTCGTTTTTCTGGTGATATTTTGTTGTGGATCGATGTTGGAAAACCGTTAGTAATGGAGACGTCCAGAGAGGTAAAGGTGTTCATTGCATTGTTAAAAATAATACCCGTTGACAGAGATGCTCGTTTACTTCCAAACCTGTAAAACAATGAAATCAAAAGTTTAAAATCTGTTTCTTGGAGCTTTGGAAACTTAATGTGGAAACAACGAGAATTTTGTGGAATTTTCCTAGAAAACACTAAATAACAAATCCCCCCCCCTCAGTACGTGTGGGGGAGAGGGGGCAGTAAAGCTGCATAAACTTGACCCTGGGTCTAATCATATACTAATAATTACATAAACAAAACATTCAATGGAACAATGTTTCTTTCTTTACAGCGCAATTGTCCTCGTTATAAAATCTATTTTTTTTTCAAACTTTGACCTTTAGCCTTTGTTTGCTTTAAACCTAGAACCTTAATTTTTCTATGCTCCAAACTTTAACCTTTAGCCTTTCTTTGCTTTAAACCTTGACCCTTAACCTTATCGTGCCCCAAAACATTTAACCTTTCTTTGCTTCAAACTTTGATCTTTAGCCTTTCGTTGCCTTGAACCTTGACCCTTAACCTTTTAATGCTCCAAACTTTGACATTTAACCTTTATTTGCTTGAAACTTTGATCTTTAATACTTTTTCTTGGAAATCTAATCAACTGGTCCTGGGGTTCCGATAAGTTGTTAAGAAATTGATTTAACGTCATTAAATAAATGCTCCACGAAATATCACTCTCAACAATATTTTCGAGTGAAAGTGATAACATATAATTATCGGAGATTTAAAAATAAAATAAACGTTTCTTACTGGGAGTTGATGGAAGACGACACTGCTACTGCATCACCGTTTGGTGCAACTATAGAAAGGTGTGACATGTCTGTGTCCACCATGTGAGAGGTGTCCATCCCGTAATGAATCGGTTCGTAAGTGTGTCGGTCATTAATATCTCGTCGTACCTCTTGGGCGAATTCTTCCGACGAGAGTTTCTTGACGAGCTATAGAAATTAATGTAGACTTGTATAGAATCACTTGTGTGGATATACATAGGAAAAAATAAGGTGGCTGAACCAAAAATACAGTTTAAATCTTTCATGAGCCAAAAACATTTAAACTGTTTCTTGTACAGTGGCTGATGTGAAAATACACGTTTTAACTGTTTCTTGTACAGTGGCTGATGTGAAAATACACATTCAAACTATTTGTTGTACAGTGGCTGATGTGAAAATACACGTTTTAACTGTTTCTTGTACAGTGGCTGATGTGAAAATACACATTTTAACTATTTCTTGTACAGTGGCTGATGTGAAAATACACATTTTAACTATTTCTTGTACAGTGGCTGATGTGAAAATACACATTGTAACTATTTCTTGTACAGTGGCTGATGTGAAAATATACATTTTAACTATTTCTTGTACAGTGGCTGATGTGAAAATACACATTGTAACTATTTCTTGTACAGTGGCTGATGTGAAAATACACATTGTAACTATTTCTTGTACAGTGGCTGATGTGAAAACATACATTCAAACTATTTCTTGTAC